CTTTTTTTTTTTTTATTTCAAATAAATTATGATTATTTTTTCTACAAATAATGACTCAACACTTTTTCTGAAAGCATCAATAGTAGGGAAGTTATTTTGTGAAATGCTTGGAGTTGATGGTATCCTACATCTAAGTCTAGGTTGAAAATGAAGATGTAAGAATTGAGGAAGTTTATATTTTAATGAAGAACTTCATTGAAATAATATTAAAGAGGTTTTTAGAATCTTGGAAGATATTTAAAGATATGAAAAAAAAAATTTTTTTTAATTAAAAATAATGAATAAAGTTGACCAAAAACAAAAAAAAAAAGGTAACTTAAGTGATATAAGTGCAGTTATGAGACTCCATTTTCTAATTAAGAATATTTACCATATTGCTAATGAATTTAAGTTAAAATCCCATTATATTTCTAACAATAACCATAAAATAATTTCTCATTAAACATTTTCTATACGCAATACGCTTTGAAAAAGCTGTATCTTGGTGCATTAACTTGCAATTTCCAACTCAAGTATGATTAAATTACCATAACTTACGATGAATATACACTGGGTTATTTTAAATTTTATTAACTGAACTAAGTTATAATATAGATAACAAAAAAAACACACACTTTTACTATGAATTAATTCATTAATACTAAACTTAAATAAATAATAAATAAAAATGATAATAAGTTAAAATGAATTGAAAACAAAGTTATTCTAAGTAAGATAAAAAATAGAAAAAATAATAATTAATTATTCAATGGATGGTTGAGAGACTTTTTGCAACTAAAATAAAAATTAACGAAAAAAAGTTAAGTGATGTTGTGCAGAAAAGGGATGGGCAAAAGGTGGTGGCAGGTAAGAAGAATAATGGCTCCATCAAATTGGCTAAAGCGTTTAAAAAAAAAGAAGAAAGAAACAAATGTGGTATAATTTAATTCATCATTGAGACTTAACTCCAAAGAATCACTGAAATTAGCTATATAAGGGCACTAAAAAATTATTTTTACTTCAATGTTCTTAATAAAGATTTTTTTTTTTTAAATAAAGAAGTGTTACTTTACTTCTTGGAGTATCCTAATTTATTGTAGATACCTCATATTGCCCCGGTTTTCTCTATTACAGTATCAACGTTTTTGTTTCCTTGACATCAATCTAAAGAAATAATATATTTAGAAAATATTTTATTTAAATAAAAGAAATGATTTATTGCAAATTCATTAGTTAATTTGTTTCGTGCAGTAAGATATTATTAATTGATGGAAAATTCAAAAATAGCATTGGTTAACATCATTATCATATTCTGTTTTAATTAAAGTCATTTTCTAAATGATGCTAATTAATTCATGAACATACCTAAAATTACAAAAAAAAAATCAAAGTATTTGAAAGTTAAACTTGAATAATACTACATCATCATCATCACTTTTCGCATAATTATCTTAAATTTTCATCGCAGAGGAAATAGTATTTTGTTTAGCCATTTTCGTACGATAAAATTTAAAGCAAAATCTCTCGTGTTAGGAATATCTGAGAATTATTTAGTCTTCATAACCAGGACACTGCAGAATATTCAGAAGCTGCAATGAAAATAACCCGGAGATTTTGATACACTCAATTATTGCAGTTATTTTCCGGTCATTAGCACAATGGTGATTCTCATGGTCCTAAACTAGTGGTTCTCGTTACCGGAAGAAGCATGAGGGGACCAGAAAGTTGGTGGCTTTCATTAAGAGCTAGGGTATTGTGTTATAAATGTTATAATTTACTATACCTATTCTCACCAAACTGACCTCTCTTAAACTAATGAGTCTTTAATTTACAATATTCTACTGTGACTTACAAACTAACACCTTCGTGTTTCGCAAAATCAATTATTTCACAAGGTGGTGAGAATATATGTCGTATGTTAACATTTGTTTCTTCTGTCTTTCTCGTTCTTGCGTTTTACCTTCTCTATCACTCACTTTGATGCCTTACCCTTTGCAACCTCAAACTTCACATGAAATTCTCATGCCAAGGTAAATTCCCGGGTGCATGCAGCTAACTTTTGGTATCCCATTATACCCTTCGTATCAACTCATATTAAACATTGTCGAGATTGTCTTTTTGTCGATTAATTTTCTCCTCACTTGTTCTTTACTCAGAGAAAATTTACTGAGAAACTATAATAGGATGGTAATACTCCAACCAAGTCACTTCTACTAATAGCCAACAACTTTTACATTTTCATCCAGAACAATGAATCGATTAAGGGGAGAAACTCCAAATTACCGATAAGTCGAAACTAAAATTAAAACTTTATCAATTATTCATCATTCAATATCATTTTCTTATATCTACAGATAATTGAGATCAGAAATGTGATTGAAAAGAACTATTAATTTGTTCCTTTACTTCTATATTCTATTAAATGACTTTGCTTATAATATATCATTCTTTTTTTCACTAATGGAAACTTGATGGATTAATCAAATACATTTCTAGTATTATTAGACTCCAATGTTCATGCTTATTTACATGAAGGAATTGCTAATAAAATTAATAGTAGTATTTATAGTAATCCAATTTAGTTGATTCTCAGGTAGATAAAGAATTCAATTGAATTGAAATTTTTGTAATACAACAATAATGACTTTTATATTTTGCCTTAAGCACTTTACCCAACATAATTATTAAGAGATGAAGCTTCTACCCTAAAAGCATCCGGAAATTATATCGTTCAATTTTTATCCTTTGATAAAACTACAGCGGATCTAAAAGGAAGAAGTATACAAAAGTGTATTTTCTATGAGAAAATAATTCTTAAGATGAATATATTTTAATTAAATTGATTTAGCTATAACTTTACATGACCAAAATATTAATAATTAATGCCATCAACAATTCATTGAGCTTCTAGATGCTTAATATCTAAACTTGATGAATTATTTCTATGAAAGAGTGATAATCATTGATGATAGGCAGAAAATAGTAAATTAAATAACTATTAAAATTAAAATAATCCCATTTTTGTATGATTATTTAATATTTTATTCATTCAACTAAATTATTTTCCCTTCCAAATGAATATTCTAATCAAATAATTCATCTTTTTGATCTCATTGTAAATATTATTCATAAGAATAAACTTTGATGACTTATTGAAAGACTTATTGCCTAATACAAAAGAAGGTTCAGTAGATAAAAATTGAAATTCTTTCAAAAATTTCCTTCCCAAAAAATAAAAGTTTCTTCAAACTCTAGAACTAAAATCAATGCAAATCTTCGCTCATCTTAACGACAACAATCCTCATAACAATAAAAATAATACAAAATCAATACCAAGAATTTCAATGCTTTTATTATGTTACTCAAAAAAAAAGTCTCATTCATTTCTTGATATCAAAAAAGGGCCATTTAATGAAATGATAAAAGATAAATATTCTGTTGAAAGCTGCAACAGTTTATAAATATGTAATAAGTAAAAATGACAGCTGACACCAAGGTGCAATAAATTAATAGAGAACAAAATATTTTGAATAGTGTATTAACGAGAAAATGTCATAATAGAGAGGTCAGTGGATCACAGGATATATTTTTACCAATAATTGGTAATGTCAAAACGGAAATGAAACGACAGAGAGGTGTTCACAGCCACCCGAGGTCAATCAAACTCTGACGCGCACGTCGGGCAATCGGACTCCACCACTGCGTGGCACCAAAGCCACCAGTTTTGTCGCAGAGAACAGCTCAATTGTGTTGTCTTTTTCTTTCACTTGTCTCTCCCACTCTCGCTTACTAACTTTACTAGGGTTGTAAGGTAGTTCAATACGGATATTCCTATCAATATTTCCATAAATCACTGCCTCTTCAAAACCATTCTATAAATCTAAAGTTAGAAACCAGGTGTTTTCTGATAAATTTCACCATTTCTCTCTCATCCTTTATTTCTTTACTCTCTTTAAATATTCCAAATAATTAATTATTTATGTTTTAAATTATTTTTAACTCATTATGGGATTCTTTTTAAGTAATTAAAGCTTATTTAAAAATTTTACAACAATGTTAATAAATTTTTGAAGTTATTAATAAATTAAATTAACTATAAATATTAATTTGATGTTAATTAAAACAAAAAAACGAAGAAATAATTAGGGAAATTTTGATGATTTCATTCAAGTTGATTAATAATAATTTCATCTTTATTAATTAGCAAAATTATTTTTCACTTTATTACTAGGTCAATTGTCTCGAATTATTTATTTTTATTTTTCAAACATGTCAAAAGAATTATTCTCCACGGGCAGAGAGTTGAAATTTAATTAAAACCGTGTCTTAATTTAAAAATAAATTATAAGAAAAAAATATTTATATATATATAGTTAAAATTGAACGATCAGTAGAAAATGTGTAGAAGGCGTATCTAATGCAAAAAATACCTGGATTTCTTGAAACTCATGTCAATACTAAAAATAGATTTGAACAAAATATTGTTTAAATCCTCCAATTTTCCTATAATCTTATTAGATGAATTGCTGAAGAGTATCGAATGTTGGATTATATTTGGAAAAAGAATATAAAATTGGAAATAAAAGAAAGTCTAATCTTGACTGTTACTGTCGACAATTTGTCTAGGTTATCGATTGGTTTAGTGAACTCGTAACACTTCTGCTTGTGATTTCACGAGGCCTTTCGAAAGGAGATTGTAAGCAAAATGTGATTTTTATTCAGGATGTAATAAACATATAGTAAAAAAAAAAAAAAAACCATTCATAATAGAGAATAAGTTTAGAGGAAAAATAGATGAGTACAGAACAACACCCAATTCGCCCTCTGGATCGAGTTCACTAGATCCTGATGTACGTCACAAGCTCAAGCACTTAATATTTCACATAAATAGAAATAATTCATGGAATTCTTTACATAAAAGAAAGCAGTAAACCTCATTGTTGATAACATTAGATACCACTTGAATGATTATCAATAAAATAGACTATAAAACTCACTGAAATCTTGATCACAAAACTCACCCGATCGCTAGGATTTGATGTATTTCTCCAGGCTAACATTCCCGTGTAATCGAGGCCGTGGAAACGCTTCTAGTAATGACTTTGCAGGTTGTAGTGAAGGCAACGACGGCTGCCAGGGCAGTGACGAGGGCAGTAGTTACGTACGGAGCAACGCCAGCAACAACAACGGCACGAGTAACATCAGCAATGGTTATTAAGTTGTTCATGGCAGTGGTTAATGTTGCAGAAGGACCAGCAGTCCTCATGATGTCGTTGGGCAACATCTTCCATTGCCGCAGTTCACCAATAACTAGTTGTGATGTTGCACTAAGACACACCTCCGCCCTCCCGTTCCTGTGATGTACCTTATTATTTTGATCAGCTTTTGGACCTCTGACACTTGATATTCCTTCAGGACTATTCTCAGTTACACCAGACATTCTAACATCTTCACAAATATTTTATTTCGCAAGCTAAACATCCGAATGATCATTTATTTCCGTCAACTTGGAGTTTTTTATTGAATAAATATTGCTAAATAAAGGCTAATGGAAATGATGATTTGAAAGAAAACAAATGGAAATTAATTTAAATACTTGACATTGTGACGGATGATAAAGAAACTACTCATTCAATGCAATGGCCAGCACGTTCACCAGCACACACACGGTGAAGAGCACAGCACGGAAAGGCGGTGGTCCGTCAACTCGACCACTCTCTATTCTCTCTCTGTCTAGTTGACGTCCGGCTCGACGGTGGCGACGGCAGGAGACGCCCCAACGCGACGTTCTCTCTTCGACGTAGCGCGAACGACGACTCACCCCGCAATCCAACCACTCTCGGGCTCACTGGTTCAGTGCTGTGCTACCAACTTATACATTTAGGGTAACTGCAGCACCCCATGCGCGCGCCGTATTAACTTTATTTTGACTCTCTTTGTAGCGTACTGCTTCAATTGCTCAAATTATTTATTATTAACTTTTATATCTACTCTTTTTTTCAATTTTTTTTTTTTACAATATTTTTATATATTTTTAGCCAATGTAATGTTCAATTTTTCTTTTGGTACTGTGAGTTTAATTACAATTTACATGTGTGCTTTTTTCATTTAAATTTTGGAGTAATTGATAAAATGCAATTTTGTGATTACTCTGTTGTTATTTTGTTACTTATTTAAATAAAGCTTTGTTGAAATTATTGGTTCGGAAATTCATTTCATGTTATAATCAATTTTTTAATTAAAATAGTCTATAAAGATATTTTTTCTTCTAATTAAATGACATTGATGAGTGCATAAATTGTTATTGTTTTTATAAAAGAAAAAAATTTTCATTTTACAAAGAGGGTGCCTTTTACAAGAAATTGATGAAAAAAGTGAAACATTACATAAAGAAATCAAACACTGTATCAAGAATATACTTACTATTCAATTATTAATATTCATAGATCCTAAAGAAAGGAACGAAGGTCATATAGACGATCCAACAAATAAGTGGAAAGTTTATAATTACATATACAAGGTCGGTAGAAATGAATCAAATTACCGTTTTACCTTTAATTTGTTCTAAATAACAACCGACGTTCATTAAAAATAATTTTTATCAAAAATCCCTTAACTCAAAAGAGCTTTACTTCAAACTTACAAAAAAACAAAAAAAAAACAAAAACCTCTAGAATATATTTTTAATTAATCCTCTTAAAAATAATCAACGATTAAAAACGTGATTAGTTGATTTAAAAATAATTATAAATACAAAATAAAAATTGAGTGTAGAAAGATAATTCCATAGCCTATCAACACCAGTTCATAATAAAGAGGATATTAGCTAAACTAAATTTCCCTTAATTTAGTGAAATTACTAGCCTGGCAAAAATGACATAATTCTCACCGAAAAAAGCCTACTTATACTATCGATCAAAAACATTAACACAAAGCAAAGTCTCTTGACATTTTTATTCATGCCTGTATAATACTTCTGATCAAAATTTACAGTTTTTTATTGTTTGATGAGGTGGAAAGCAATCATTTAATGGAGTCAGCTGGGAAAGGGAATAAAATGATGAGAATTTAGCGAGAGACGCGGGCACAGAAGGGCCTTGGAGGTGGCCTGGAATGATCGGGCTCTTGGTGGTAAGGATGGCGGGGGGGTTAAAGAAGCCCTTGAAATCAATAGCCAGCCGGTACTGCCACCGCCAGTGCTACCACCACCTCCCTGATCCCGTACCTCATCCGTCGCGCACGGTCCAACCCTATACTCCACTGCTCTTGCTCTCTTTTCGTCGCATTCGCGTCCTCCCCACGACTACCCTCCTCCTCATCCCTCCTCTTACCCCTCACATTATTCCTCATCGTCGCGCTCTTTTTCTTTCTCTCTCGCTTGTTCGAATTTAATATTTATGTACATTCATCCGGAGTAACCTTTGCTATCGCCTCAGATCAGTCTGTTCAGTATCTACCTCAGATTCGAATATGTATCTGTTGCCGTATATATATCACTTTATCTTTTATATTTACATAAACTTCTTCATTGCATTCCTCTCTCTGCATTACTACTTAAAGTCTTCTAAATATTATTAACATTTTTTTATGCATTTGTAAACAGTCTTTTTTGCATTCTTTCATCGTTTTTATATCTGTATTTTTGTCGATTAAAAAATGTAAGGAATTCTTATCCACCCCTTGAGATATTCTTTGCCTTACTAATTTTTTTAAATACTTTGGAATATTTTTCCAGCACCTGGTGATTCTTTTATGCATAGTTGTTTTTTTTTTCCTTTCGGAATATTTCTCTTCTTTTTGCTTTAGAAAATATTATTTGGAAAATATACACTAGGATTTTCTTCTTCAATAAATTTTATTGCACATTTTAGGATGTTTTATGCGAGTAAAATGGTCTCGTTTAGTGTTTTTATTTCCCCAATTTACTTAGTAAATACACAATATCGAATTTTTGGTTTTTTAGAATTTTTTCACAATTCTTCTTCTCGTTTACTTTATTTCTCTTTACTCATCAGTTATTTTTTTTCTTGCAATTTACAAAAACCAATAAAAAATCTTTGGCAATATTTCTACTATAAAATTCTACGATATCCTGCGAATAAAGGAAACTTTACGTATATTCTTCCGCATATTCAAAAGCTCATAATATAAAAGAATCTTTATAAAAACAAACAAGAAAAATATTTCCAAAAATAAGAAAAAAAAATATTCAAAATATAATTAGGTCCTTTTGGAGAGCTTTTTTTTTTATCCTTTTTATTTTACATATGTACCATATGACTATATGACTTCTTGAAGCTTTTCAAAAACACCGAGATGCTCCGTTTACATGTTTGAAGCTTTGACATCTCACCGCCAAAAGTGAAAAAACTTTTGCTGCACAACAGTACATCCGTTTCGTATACGCAGTGAAACTCGAAAGAAGGCAAAAGCAAAGGAATAAAAAGAAATAGAGAGAAAAAGAAATGTAGAAAAAAAAGAGGAAGCACAAGAGAGATATAAAGTGAATGCTGTCGCTACCGACCAGCGCTGCAGTGCCATCCTCACATTATTCTCGAGCCCATACATACATCCCCTTACCCTCCTGCTTTCTTTCATTCGGATCATACACGCACGTACACGTATGTATAATGACGCAGGGCGCAAGGCCTGACGTTGACCTACTATTGAGGCACACATTCGTGATACAGAATTATCTTCTAAGAGCTCCGGAAAAATGGTGAATGGAAATTTTATTAGACTTTTTTTAAGCCGAGGAAAATTATATCTCTGGATCATAAACTGTTACAGAATAACAGAAAAATCATTTGATGCATAAAGAGATTTTTTTTTCTTTTCCTCATATTTGGGGGAGGGGGGGGGGAGTTTATTAAATATCAACTCCTAATTTATAATTTATTTCGTCATTAGCCACTTCTTTTGAATATTATTCAAAAAACATAACTGATTATTATAAAAATGTTTTAATCAAAAGAAAAAATTTATATATGAAAAAAAGAACTCAGCAATATTTTATGCAATCTTGCGTAAATAAAGCTTCTATATAATTTCTTGCCTCCCTTTAAATCGTGAAAAAAAAAAATATATTTCTGAAATGCTTGAGGGTTTTTTTTACCTTCATTAAATATTTCATTGAATACTTCTGCTTCTGAAATTAGGCTCTACAATAAAATTTACATTTTAAAAATAATTTTACCATACGAAACAGAATTAAGTAATAAATATTATTTTTTAATCTTCTACATCTTAATATTATCCTCTAAATATTTGATTATTATCTTCCAATATATTTTTTAGACAATTTTTATCAAATTTAACTAGTTAAAAAAATTCTTAAATAAAAAAAAAAGAAAAAATTACCACTACTTCACCCTTTGAAATTTTAAACATTGATCTCAAACAAGGTTACATTATAAAATGAAACATTATATTATCATAATCTAAACAAAGAAGAAAAAAAATCTATTGACTTTGAAGTTTCAAAAATTGAACTCGTCAATGTTGCAACATTGCAGAATAACAGTTAAATCATTTGATGACTCTTGAAAGCTCTTATTAAGAGCTTTTTTTTGTTCTTTCAATAACAAGCACACCAGTTTCCCTAGTATAAAAACCGCAATACTTGTAGATAATTAACGGAAGAAAAGGCAATGCGCGAGTTAACTGCAGCGATTCTTCGATTTAATCGAAGACATGACGTCATAGAGTCCTGCGGGCCTGACCTCGATTCAGATAAAATTTACTTCAAGTACGTTATTTACTCAAGATTGAGAAGTAAATATTAAACAAATATTTATAGACTATAAATTATTAAGATACTTTAAAGATACTATAATATTTAATCTTAGAAATATTGGCTTTTAAAATTTAACTTTATAATTAAATTTAAATAATTAATTTATTGAATCTTTTCAATAACATTTAACGCTTGCTTATGAGATTTATTAAAAAGTGCCCAAACAACCTGTATAATTTATTAAAGATCATAAATTAAATAAAAAAAAAAACGAACATTTACTGTAAGTAATATTCAAATATTGCTCTTTTTATAGTAAATCTCGTTGCTTATTCTTAAAATAATTCAAACATCTATATTGAATTATATTTTCACCTGATTTTTTTTTTATATTATTAATATTTTTTTGTCTAATGATAATATATTTTTTAATTTTACTTATGATTTATTTACACGTTTTACGTTCATATTCATTTAATGAAACATTTGAAGAGTAAATTTTTTTTATGAGTAATTTAATGGTGTAACTTATTTCTTCACTTTTTATTTTAATGAAAAGAGCATGATTTAAAAGGTAAATGCACTAAAAGTCGGTCGTTTAAGTTAGCTGCTGGAGAATTTTATTTCTGTAAATTTTATTATTTAATTAATGTAACAGTGCATCTTCAGTTTTAATGGAAATGCGTAATTGAAATAAAGAAACTTTTTAATATTGAGCTATATGATTGGAACAAAAATTATTAACAGAAAAATTTTTCAATATTATTTTGATATTGAAACTAACCACAAAGTTATACAATGTTGGTATTAAAATGTATTTTAGTTGAAATGTTGTAAAATGTTATGATAATTAATGAAAAAGTTTTTAATAATTATTATAAAATATTGTTGAAATAATGTAATGAATAATTTTCATTTTAAAATAGCTAAATCTAATTATTATGTTCTTTTAATTACCTGTGACAAAAAATTATAATCATAATTCATTAGTATTCATAGTGCTATTATTATATATTCGTGTAAAATTTTATAAAAATTATCATATCTACCGGGAAATTATAAAATTTATCTGTCTATATTTTTATTTTTACTCAAAACAAGCTTCTTTTGCAACCAGAAAAATATTTACTTTCTCAAAATATTTATGTTACTTCAATAAAAGTATCAAATAATTTTTACATGAATTACACTTGATAATTATTTAAACAATAATAAATTTTGTGCATAAAATGTTTTTAGAAACAAAATAACTTGAGTTCATTTATAAAAACCATGAAAATATTTTATAAAATAATACAGACCGATTTTAAATGCATTACCTTATCAATATCCTTGATAAGAGAAAAAAAGATAAAAAATAATTCCTTTTTTTTCACGGTTTGTACTAATTCAAAACTTGTACGTATGAAATAAGTAATTATCGAGATAAAGACCGTTAAAATGATATTAAATAGAATCACTAGTATAGACTTAAAAATAATGATTATTCACTGTCCTCAAGTCATTCGTGTTGTTACATACTGAACGTAGAACTTTGAAAATCGTTTGGTAGAATTATGCAATGATGATAAACAGAAAATTAAATGAACTAACGATAAGTATATAAGTACTTTGAAACCGAATAATGAGTAATAAATAACTGAGTATAAACAACAAAATAATGAATAAAAAGAATAAGTATTAAAGACTAGAAGGAATAATTGAACCAGCAAAATGTGATCATATTATAAACTATTGCGAATGATCAATTCAGTAAAAGGGAAAAATTTTTTCAGTTATAAAATAGATTTTTTAATTAAAATACAAATAATGTCGATTTTTAATCTAATTTATCAATAACAAATTATAAATCAATAATAATTCCTCTACGAAACAGAATAATGTGTCATTGACACAATTAATAGAAATATTTTATTTATCACTTTTGTTTCATAGATGAAATAATTTTATTTTACTTAATTTTATCAAATAAACTTAAATAAATAAAAGAAAAAGTATGATTAATTTAGAGCATATTTAAACTTTCATTCATTGATTACCGAAAATTAAAATAAAAAATAAAAAAAAATCTAGATAGCTCATTTATCAATCTGGTTCTTCCTTACTGCTCTACGTCATTTATAGACTTTTTATCGGTATCTTCTTTGTTCAGTTGATCAAATATTTTCTTTATGTACACTGTATGACGTTATGTTAAAAAAAAAAATACATATTGGGTTCCATTAATTTTTATCCTATTAAATATGAATATGAAATATTAACATGCATTTTTGCCTTTTTTTTTTTAAATTTCAGTATTTCAGTACAAATATTCATTAGAATACGTCGAAAACCTTATTTCAACAATAATAATATTAATAATGGAAATCATAATAATTAACACGATGTTTATTAATTGGCGAGATGATAGTATATAGGCGATTTCTTTTATAAAGCACGAGATTCTTAAATGAATTCTCTTTCACTTCTAAGCGATTTTATCTCTAGAACGAATGAAAAATCACCCAACGAATGAATGTAGTTATTACCTTCTCTTCCTTAAAAAACAATGTTTTTATAATTAAATGTATATAAATGAGAAAAGAAAACTATAAGTCGATTGTAAATTAAAAAAAAAGTTGTTTATAATTTTCGATCAACGATTTAAATTTAAAAATATAAAGTTTGACGATCAATCGATACTATTAACGAAGACCATTACTAGAAACATTGATAATCGTTATTTTATTATGCACAATTAAAGGACAACTCAAGTTATTGCGATTTATAGTGATGGCATCGAGTGACAGGAGAGAGAAGGCTAATTAAAATAGGATTAAGGGCTGTGCTGAGAGTGTACAGATGGACAAGAACTGCTCAGATCAATTTCCCCAGAAAATAACCGATTATCACCATAACAACAGCCGCGATCATAGTTGTAGGTGTCAAACTCATAGGTGGACTGCTGCGTTCCACTGGACCTGACGTCAATCGTCCTGTCGTCATGCCCTTGTCCATAGCGTTTTGATATTTCAATATTTCTTCCTACCAATATTAATATATTTTTTTAGCACAATTTATTGAGTCATCGATTGTTAAACACTAACAATTACTTATTATATCAAGTATTGAGCTATTAAATTTAATCAATAATTTCATTGACTTATAATAAATATCTATATCTGTTTACTACAATTAATTGAATGATAAAAATTTTATAAATACCTTCAGTTGGAGACATTCCTGCCTTAAATTACTCTCTTCTGCCCTCAATTGATTGACTTCTGCAGCTGCTTTCATTAGCTTTTCTTCTGATTCAGATAACTGTTGATAAAAAAAATATTATAAAATAAAATGATTAACTATTGCAGAAAAGTTCGTTAATTAATCATAAGTAATTTGTTTTACTGGTTTTAATGAATTTTATTATATTGTAAGGAGATCTTTATTACTTTAGATGAGGTCTTTGATGCATCTTCTATGGCTTTATTTTTGCCATTAGTCGTACTAGAATCAGATTTAGGAGCGTTAGGAACAGAATCCTTTCCCGATGCAGTGCTGCTAACTGGATTCTCAAATACACATTTCAATTTATACTCCATTATCAAATCCTCAGAAACATCTTTCCACTAGAATAAAAATAGATTATGATTAATTCAAGATATATATTTCAATGATTGAATACATTATAACACTATTAAAAAAATATATTATTTACCACTTCATTAGGAAAGTCATCAGGATCTACTTCAGACGCTAAAATCGTCTGAACCATAAACTTGTGTTTATTTTTTTCATTTGGATCAAAGTCATATGGCTGCAAGCACACTAAAAAATAATAATTAAAATTAATAATGATCGAAATAATACTCTAATTAATAGCATTCCAAAGATATTTTGTAATTCTTTTGAAATTTCTACTTAATTATTTATAAAATAAAGTTCATAGTAATTTATAAATAAATCTTAATAACTGACGTATAAATTGTAATCGCATTATTTTCTCATTTGCACTAGCTATTAATAATCTATGGCATATATTAAATTAATCGATAGTATAGAAAAATATCAGAATGTCCATTGTAATTTTCAAGTGATAAAAAATAACAGACGATAATAAACAACTCATACTCATTAATAAAAAACATAAATATCATGAGTACATGAACAGAAGCTTAACCTTAATAATTAAAATAAAAATAAAATTATACATCTCTTTCATTAATTCCGTGTTCCATGTTTCTATCATTTTATTTTAGAAATAAATGTTTTATTTTACAGTTGAATGATTTGTTTTTCTAAATAAATTAACTTATTTAAACTTTGAATACAGTTGTGAGTAAATATATGTAATTATTTCATACAATAATTATCCAACAAACCTGCAATTGCAGTGACTTCTTTGCCTTTTAGCACTCCACTATTTGGTCTGACGCAGTATCTTTTTGGAGCAGTAGTTTTTATTTTAAAATATACTTTATGATTTGTAGGATTGGTAAGTTTTATATACGACGTAACGTGTGTACCAGTAAAGGGACCTGTAAAAAATCATTAGTCAAAGCTACAAAAAATTACCATCACTAAGTTTTATTATTCATCCAAAACATAAATTAAACACAACATCTCCCTATGCAATCATCATTTTCTATTTGAGTGAATCTTGGTTAAGCTAAAAAATATTCAATTGTCTGATTACCACAACTATTCACTTGGAAATATTTTTGACCAAGTAATCTAAATTCCTACGTTGTCATTCTGTACAAAAACCAATTAACAGAGATGAAAACATAGGAGTTAGTGTTTACAATTGATTTATTATGATTATTAATCAAATGTTCAATGAATTTGTTTTAAAAATTAAAGCAACCAATGGTATAATAAAGACTCGTTGGATTATTTGTATCAAACTATTTGACAGCCTTGCCGGTCGGGTTAGGTTTGTAACTATGAGTTAATAGTAATAAATTTATGACAAGTAGACATTTTATCAACGATATATTAAGAAAATATTTTTCATCTAGACGATCTTACGTCATCTTGACAACGCATATTGCAAAACGATTTGGCGTTGTAAAAGCATATGAAAGAATAGGTTCGAATCGCCATGACATAGCGATGGATTATGAGAATGAGATCAAGTAAATGTAGTAGAGGTTAAGAAAATGATATCAAAGAATTCGTGAATTATTGAATATTGTGATTTATTTAGTGAGCTTACCCCTGAATCGGAGTTCACCCTGCGGCTCGATAATTAAAACCTGCTCCGGCTTCGTCATCTCGTCTTTACGTGGGCTGTCTCAAGAAATACGAGATCTTTGGTTATCACAAATAAAGAGATTGGAAATTTTCCTATATTAACTTTGATTATTTATTATAACACTCTGAAAATTTTAGAAATCACGTATTAGATCACGTATTAGAGCGTGTATTCTTCACAATTCCACTTTCTAGGATTCCGTTAAACTAATTCTGATTTTTAGCCTTCTTCTAAATACGCATGCGTCATGACGGAAATTATCAGAAGTTGTGCGTTACGTCACGAAACGCCATTACTGCAATAATCATATTCACAACTCAAAGTTTATGTCAATTTTTTGTTAATTATAAACAATTTTATTACATAATTGACCTTATTATTAAATTTTTCATTTAAATATTTTACCTAATCTCACATTCTTATGAGACAACTTGCAATTAATTATACTGGTTTTTTTTTAACAATTTCAATTTGCTTTGTCATTTTGTATCTTTTTTGCTAGTTCAACATACATTATTACCTAAAAAAATTTATGCTTTCTGTATCTTAAAATAATTTTCAAAAAAAAATCATATAAAAATTCATACATTCATAACGCAAATTAAATTTGCATTAATCATTCTCAAGAGGTTTTATTGGTTATTTTTCATCAAAGTATTCAATGCTCCAATAACTTAAACATGATTGGTTTATTTTGATCAAGAATTTGCAAATGGAAACCAATCAAAATTAAGGATTAACTAAGCACGTGTTGCCAGCATCCTTTGTCATATTCAAAGAATTAATAGCGTTGCTTAGTTAGTTTTCAACTCAAATAAACTCTTAGTTTGTAGTTTTTAACAAAATGAGTAATAATGAATATTTTCCTCATCCAAATTCGAACGTTGATGTCTATAGAAATATGTCAGCAGCAGATCGTTCACCTGTTCCTGATAAACATCTGCAGTTCATAACTGTTTACAATGGTATGATTAAGGTTATTTTTTACAAACAATCATCCAAATTATAGCAAATGAATTAATAATTATTTACACTTCAAGATTTGATTATTAATTTAATTATAGATAATTAATATGAACTTTTGTTTAACTATTATTACTACAAAATGGGTTGTCTACACAATACTTGATTTTAAAATGGAGAAATCAATTCTTTTTCTTTATAACATTGAATGACATTATAAAAAATGATCATATAAACAGTGTTTTAGATCATTATTGTACAAGTTATTATAAAAAAATAAAATATATTTAGACAAACAATTTTTTCTGTGACAAATTGCAAAAATTAGTTTTCCCTTTTATTGAAAAGTATTGATAAGTCATTCTGTGCTATTATTATAATTACTCTAAGTTGCGAGTAAAATTTATTAAAAGCTACTATAATATATTTCCTTACTGTTGATGTTATGCCAAAATTGCTTTTAAAACTGTATTGGAATTCTCATTCAACTCCTGGGTCGTCAATTCAACTTAATTGAATCTTTATTCTCATAAAAATAAATAAAGTTTACGTTTTTACAATAACAGAATATTTAAGATGATACTGAATTGAATTTCTTTCAGATGAAAAAGCTATTCTGGGCGCGAGTAATATGATTGATCGTTATTGGAGTGGTACAGTATGGTTTTTTAATGGATGTTCAAACTTTGACAGAAAAAATGCAACCATAGCAATGAGAACTGAGAGTGGAGTTTGTGATGCTGATTTCTTAGATAAAGATAGATTCGTAGTTACTGAAGATAGCGGAGTCATTCAGATCCTTGAAGTCGTTCAAGCTGCCGACACTATGATGCCAGAAATTCGTTATTTAAAATACGAATGTCAGCATGATGATGGAATAACTTCGTTAGCTATTTTTGATAATAAGACACATTTTGTCACTAGTGGATTAGATTACTGGTAATATATAGTTCTTTTTAAACGATTTTCAAAAAAGAATATAAATATTTATATGAATATAAAATTCATAACATAAAAACATCTTTTTATTTTTCAGTATAAAAGTATGGCATGCAGCAGAGCTTTTAGCAGAAAATTCTTTTTCATCCTGCCACACTGGAATTATAACCAGTGTAGATGTAATGCCTAAAAGTGATTCAGTATTTGCATCAACTTCGTTAGATTGTGATGCTCTTATTTGGGATATAAAACAATCTACTCCTGCAACCCGTATGAATCCACTTAATCAACTTTTTAAATTATTTTTATTCTGACTGCATTTTCTTATGATTTCGATATTTTTTATTCAACAATTCACTTCATTATTGATTTTACTTCAAACTTCTATATTTTTTTATTAGATCTACATAAAAAAAATGACAATGGTTTGACAGCCATTTCTTGGAATCCTAGTGATAGCCATTATGTAGCAATTGGTGCAGAAGATGGGAGTATTACTTTAATAGATCTACGATCACCAACTGCAGTTCTTTTTCAATCTACAGTATTTTCACGTCCAGTACATAAGTTAAAATATCATGCTAAACGGTAATTAAATAATAATGAAATTATTTTACCAAAAGAATTCGTTTCCTTTACAATTTTATGCAATGTATATTAATTGTAATTGATTAAATTATTTTTTTTTCATCTAGGAAAAATTTGTTAGCTGCTTGCAGTGATGATACAGTCGTTAAAGTTATAGATACATCTGAAAATTTGGATATAATATACGAAAATAATCAACACAGTGATTTTGTTCGTGGATTTGCATGGTTAAAAGATGAATTAATAACGTGTTCGTGGGATAATAGTGTATTAAAGCATACTTTATCAAAGTTATCTAAGTGAATTATTGACAAATATCAATTTCTCGAAAGAAAAACAGATTGATTCATTCCACTGAATTGTATTTTTATGTGAATATCCTTGAAAAAATTAACTATCGTTAAAAAAATTCCAAGTGTTAAAAAAAAAATTTATCAAATAACATACAGATTTAAGCTTGTACATTGATTGATTCAAGTGTTTAAATCTTCGTCAAAATATAAATTAACAATTAAATAGTATAGATACAAATAAATAAACACTATCTATTTGTAAAACCATTTAATCACTTTTAAATCAATTTAGTGAAATTATTCATATTTTTTTTAATTTTTATATGTTGATGAATTAGTATTAATAAATATTCCATCACCATTTGAACTTGTGGACATTTTCATTTTTTTTTATTAAGAATAATAAGTAAATTATGATCAAAATATTTGATCATTGTATCTAATTCTATAATCTTAGTTTGACAATTAAAAATAGGATTTTAACATATTACAGATTTATAGGAATATTATGCACTTGAACTCCAATAATAAGTCATATCGATAATAAATGTTTTAAAGGCATGAGATATTAATAATCAATATACTGAAGATGGTACAGTATTTCTGTAGATTATAATTAAAATCTACTCTAAATTGTAAATTTTAAGAGATATACAATAATTATAGTGAATGATCATTTAAAAATTCTAAATAATTTGAATAAATTTTCAAAAACACGACATATAATATATCAAGTTCTACTTTTTCCTAGTATCAAGGATAATATGATTTAAATTCTAAACATTAAGAATTTGTAAATAATCCCCAAAGTTCGTCACAAATATCTCACTATTTATTATGTTCCCAAGTTGTAATAAATTCTAATACACACACTATTCCATCGATTTGTATCCCCAATATTTTCTATTCTCACTCATTAACATGTTAACATAAAATGTAGAGTAAACAATTGGCAATTGGTTGTTTCTTTCATAAAATTATGATACAAAACTAATTGTTTAAGATAATTAACAATTATAGTCATTGCAAATGAAAACTTTTCAACAATTTCTAAAATTGAATTCTTCAAATCTATCTATTGTGTACATAGTTGGTATTCATGAATTTTAATTTAAATCTTTTTCTTGAGCATTTTAATATTGTTTTACTATGACCAAAAAAAGTCATTTTAAATCATTTTTACTTGTTTTATAATTTATACGCAGTCCCCTTCCCTCCTCAATATTAATATTAATACTTTGTCATTGATTCATAAAGATCAATTATAGGATCATATTATCTTATGATAATTTATTAAAATAATAATGAAATATTGTTTTTTCCTTTATATATAAATAATCTCTTTGCTTCATTGAATTTAATTATAAATTTTTAAAATTAAAAAAAATACAATAATAGAACAATAATTAACAATTTTATCGATTATATATATATATTTTCGTTTATAAAAAAAAAATAATTGTGTGTACATTATATGATCGAATTATAGTTATTAACAATTCATAAAATTTAATTAATGATTGTGAACATGATTCCATTGAAATAATATATAAAAGATGATGATTTTATCAATTTTTGTTTGCTTATGCGGAATGCATTATCGTTAAAACGATGGTACAGTCTTATTAGATGGGGAATTGAAAAAAAAATAGGAAGGATGGGGCTCACTATCTGCGTTTACATGTCACAATGATTATTATTATGTACAATTTATAATCCTTTTTTTTTCTTTTGACTGTGTAGATATTTTCAATCACAATCGATGAAGTATGCAATACTAACATTGCCATTTATTATCTTATTAAAATATAACTCATTGATGTATGATTATTCATACTTTATCATCTGTATTGATGGGTTTATTATGTTGTCGATATTTTTTTTTGTTCATACAACAGTGTCTGCAATTATAAATTTACTTCGTCCGTATGTAACAATTTCCTTCATCTATATTATCAAACTTCCACTTTTCAACTGGTATAAATTACTTCCAGCTGTTTTCTTGTTCATCAGCCGTAATATCACCATACTGCCAGATGTTACGATGATGAGTTTTTGCTTCTTTTTGTGCTTCCAGGTATTCCTATAACAATTAAAATTATTCGCTATGAATATTATTCTATTTTTTAATCTAATTCACATTAGTCTAAGGTGAAAATTTGAAATTATGGATAAAAAAAATTCATTTCCGTACTCTCACTTAATTTAATTGGATATTTTAAAAGATTCTCTACTTACCGCTTTCACAGCATTTCTTTTCTCTCTATTTACTAAAAGGTATCCATCAGTAACAAGCGCCTTAATTATATCTTCATTTGTAACAGGATCCACTAGAGTAGCTGCTAAGACTCCTGATTGAGATTTATACATGACACTCAATAATAAGGTTTTGTCTTCAACGTCTTCGTGAAGAGCCTGAAGTGCTGCTTTTTGATCGTCGACCTGTTTAAAATAAATATTCCATTAAAAATCTTCAATATTTATTGAATTTTATGAAAGTATGAAATATTTATAAAACATTTACGTACATCTTTAGGAAGAGCCACGAAAGCTGCCACAAATTCATGCGCAAAAGGCTTTTCATTAGTGAATTCAGAAGGTAAAGGAGCTACTTGTGTAACATTGACAACTTCTCGATTGCCATAATCAATGTAAAAAACACTTATGTTAGTGCCAGCAACTTTTTCTACTTTGGCACGATACCACATTCCATCACCACTGAATTTGGCAGCAACTAATTCACCACGTTTTGGATTAAAAGCACCAGGAAGTGGTGGATTGTCGGCAAGTTCTTGACGCAGTCGCGAAAGAAGCCCTTCCACTTGGCTTCTCTGATCGACATACTGAGCGTAGAAATGAAGATCATCTGTAATTTCAGCAATAACAACCTCACGAGCTTCAACTTTTCTTTCAATGATTTCGGTCTCTTCTTTAACCTCTTCAGTATCAGGTTCAACTTCAGGACGGTCCCAGATATTTAGTTTCTTGGCTTTAGCTCTTTCTTCAGCAGCTTTAAGAGTCTTGAGGTATTCACCGTGTTCAGTAAAGCTGGAAACTTCAGCTAAACCTTCTTCAACAAGTGCTACAGACATATTAACATTATCAACAAAAAGCCATCCAATAAATCCACTGCCTTTTGATTCCATGCCATCTACTTGAATTTCTACATCTTTTTGGAAAGTATTATCTTTCATAAAATTGTAGGCTTCTTCGCAGTATTTTTCACCTTCAATAGTTCCACCACCTGGTTTAGGTCTGGAACGTCTTGGTGCTTTTACTCCAGCAAGTAAGAATGTTATCAGACAATGTTCTTTCGGTAAGAAAAGCTTTAATCGTGAACCACTTGTGACGAATTCAACAACTGCTTTGATACCACGTGTCCTTTTTAATGCTGACAAATGGCACTTAGCTTTAGCAGCATCATTTGATAAATCAATAATTCTTTGCGGAGCGGTGTCTTTTTTTGCATGAAGACCATTTTGAGATTTTTCTGCTTTACTTTCAGCTGCTAAGAGTTCATTATAATGAAGAGGTCGCGCATCATCATTTTGTTTATATCTTACAACTGTGGCTAAACCTTTAGAAACCATAGCTTCTGCCACATTCACCTTTCCAATCATCACAGTACAACAGATTTTCTCTGGATACTGATCTTTAGCTGGTTGTGTATAATCTTCGATCACTTTGACTTGTTTTCGAATCAATTTTTTTCTCAAAAACTCACGAGCTTCATACATAAAAGGAATATCATACAAAGGTCTGAATTCTTTAGGTCTTGGCGTGTTTTTATCTTCTCCAGCTTTTTTCTCTCGCTGGGGTGGTCGAATGCTACTCAAAAAGATTTTCTTTGTCTCTCCGTTTTGCATTTTAACAACAAACGAATCGGCTCCAGTTATCTCTACAACCACAGCATTATATTCTTTCTGAGGAGCAGTTGGTTGCCAGTTTTGCCAGAGATGTAATTTTTTTTCTTTTGCTTCTTTTTCAGCCATATATAATTTATCAACTCCTGATTTCGTAAAGTTCATCGTCCAATCTACACATTTAGCAAATCCTTCACGTAACAAATGTTCAGCAATATTCCCAGCTGGATGTAAAATTGTTCCAACAAAATTGTTGTTATTTGTAGCTTCAAGAATAACTTCAACATCCCTTTGTAGGATTCTTGTTTCTACATAAAATTGAGCTTGTTTAGCGAACGGCTCTTCACTTTCAGGTCTCATTTGAGGACAACGGATACCAGATAACATCAAAGTAATGTGATAAAAATCAGGTAAAAGGAATGCTTTAACGGTGGAACCATCTCGAACATGTTCAATAATGGCTTTGACAGGTTTTCCACCGTATTTATCAACTAAAGCACGGGGATTATCAACTGCCCACTTGATATCTCGAATGTGCTTAGCAGATGGACTGCCTGACCATTTTCCTCTCCCTGCCGACTTTGCTGCATCCTCCAATTCTTGCAAACGGAGCTGAGCCGGACTTGGATTACGTACATTATCTCGTTTCACTGTCGCTAAGCCCTCAAATACCAAGAGCTCTGCTACATTTTCTCCATTTTTATCTATTAGAAAATACAATTATTTATTGAGTTTTTGTTTAAATTTCTATTGATTTCTTTTCATAAGTAAATAAAATAATGCCGTAAGTATTTATCGTACCTTTGCCTAACCACACAGATCCATAAACTTTCGTCGCACTCACAGATTTTTCTTCAGTAAAAACTACCTCTTGGGCAATTAATTTCTTTCGTAAGAATTCTCTGGCTTCCCAAGCCCAAGGTTCGTCTTTTACTTCATCACCACTGTAATTATAAATTAATTTTAATAAATATTTATTGATAAAATATAAATCCTTACAATAGTTATTCATAATAAATTTTTTTTATGACTTACTTGGTATTTCCTCGTCTTCCTAATTTTGGAGCATTGATGTTAGAAAGCGTAATGGTTTTTTCTGGTGGAGGTCCACCTCTCGGTACTCCTCTAATAGTGATTGTATCACCAGATACAATCTTTCAAAAAATAAATACACAATAAATAATTTTTAAATATCATTTAAATGTATGAATATGAATTTGATAAATACGTACTTATATTTATCTTATATCTATTAAATTCAGTAGAAAGAAAAAATAGTCAAAGAGAATTAAAATAACAGTTAATTACTATCCAGTACTTTCTAGGAAGATTTATGACATTATTTGAATTACCAACAAACTGTTTATGGTCAATTATGAAAATATCACAGTTATATTAATTTGATTAAGATAATATGAGAAAACATATTATAAGAATGATAGTTCTACGTTATCATTCATAATTTATGAAACTTTTAATAAATAACTTGAAAAAAAAATATCTCATTGAACATAGTATGATAATAAACAAAATAAATTATTTTTGGAGTAAAATGTATTATTATTATTATAAAATATTATTACATGAATGAAAAACTGTTACTAGAGTAAATAAAAATTTATGACAATATTGATTGAATTAAATCTTTAACATGAAAGTTTTGTTTAAATGCAATTGTATAAATACAAATAGAATGTGGCACGTGGCATTTGAAATATTATGACTGTACAATGTTATGAAAATATTTTGACACTCCAAAACTAAAATTTCAAATTTTTATAAAAAAATCAATGTATTCTTATCATCACATAATACTCATTTATTTTTAATAATATACAATTATTGATTTATATTATCTTTGGCGGATGAAGAGGTTAAAAATTATTTTAATGAGTATTAGGTTATCTTCAGTAACTTAATAATACATTAACTATCACCTTTGTAGAGATTTTTCATAATTAAAAAATGAATTATGTGAAGATACTGTATACATAAATATTTTTAAATAAAAATTTATTATTTTTTATTTCAAATTTAGTTATAAAAAATTGTTCAAGACATAAATGAAAACCATATGTCTACTTGATATTGCATGGCAGCTGGATGAATAATTAATAAATGAGAAAGAATCAAAATATTATAGTTATAAAATGTAATTGGCTGTATTAAAAAGTTTTAGTTAACAAATTCTATAATTAATAACACGCAAAGAAAAGAGGTTAAAAACACTTACCAATTTCACGATGCCGTATTTGGAATCATTGGTGGTGCTGGTACTCATGGTGACTATATAAATTCCAGACAAAACTCTCGCCAAAAAATGTATTAAAATAAGGACAATAGACTTGTATTAATCAAGTCCTTTATTCAGTGATTTTTTATTTATAAATGTTAAATGTATTTGAAGCAGCTTTCACGAATTACTCAAGAATAATTTGGCATGTTGGAGCACACAGAGGAACTCGATTCACAGTCACCACGTATTACAAAGGTAAGCACAAGCGCAATCTACACATAAGCATCACTGAACTCGAGGCTTTGCCACGATGGTGATGTGGCAACACGCGACACTTTGCCGGTCGATCGCCACGCGCTCTATTAAAAGTCTAATAAAAAATTCAAACGTGATATCTTTTTGATCAACTTCTTCATTATGACTTATTGATTCAAAATATTTCATATTATTTCAATTTATTTTTTTTCTTATAGTGAATTATTGATTTACAATACTTAGAAACAGAGTAAACAGACCATAAATATGCAATTTAATTTAGTGTTCCCATTTTTATATAAACACGGTTCACTTACGACAGCAGTTCAACGATAGAATACTTAGGTTCATAACATATTGAAAATGATTTATTTAAAATAAATAATAAAAATAATAATATAATTTATTTATTCATTAAAAAGTTCATCACTTTCCTATTTACACTAATTTTAATTTGATATCTTCGTTAATTGAAAATAAAAATATAAACAAATTATTTTTTTAATTTAAAGTAAACTTATAATAATATTTTATTTATAAAGCTACTTACCTCATTAAAATTCATTAAAAATATGTTTTTATAATCTCAGCTGCATTATTTATTAGTTGTAATTATTATATTACTCATAATTATAGAATTTAATTTTATATAACTATTAAGGATTATTAAAAAAGTAAAGGTTCAAAGGTATTTACTAAAGTTAATCTTTCCTTACTTTATTTCACTATTATTATTGATCATTTATTGGTTATTACTTATCTATATGTATAAATATACCTACGTATATATGTATAAATATACATACAATGGTCGATGCAGTGAAATTTTCCAAACTTCAGTATTTTATGTACAGATTAAATGAGCTATAAAGTTAATTAGTTAATTCATTAATGTTCGTGCGAAAAAAATTTTTTTTTAAGATGATGAATACTCAATTGATCAATGTAAATATTTGATAATAAAAATGAAAAAACACATACAACGATATCTTGTTTACCTAACTGGATATCTTCACCACATTATTTCATGACAAAGATAAAATATAACACGATTTCCGGTTTTTCGCACTACATTCCAACTTTCATTTCTGTTGAAATAAAAAAAAAAAAAAATGACGTGATTACGTTAGTTATCATTGAAATTATAAGAAAATTAATTAATAATCCTGCACAGAATCATAATTGTAAGACGGTTGATCATTACGATTCTCCGGGATTCGATATTTTTCTTCGACTTCATTATCATCCTCGTATTTCACTTGAGCAAAGTATGGCGTAGAGGAAGGATATGAATTGGTATAGTCAGGATAGTCTGCAAAAATAAATAATCTTCATTAATTATCATTGTTTTTAAACAATTCAAGAAATTAAACAAAATAAACAGAGAAAATAAAAATGAATTATTTTCGTTTAGAAAAGAATTATATGTTTAAATGATTTAATTTATAAATAATATTGTTATTTATAAAATTTGGATAAATAATAGAAATAACTCACCATCAATAGGTTCCTCTTTAACGCGAATTTCTTTAGTATCTTCATCTGGAATACGATCGCCACGATCTTTCCGATCTCTCCTTTCACGATCACGATCACGTTTGTCCCTTTTCCGTTCACGATCTCGATCACGATCGTTACTCCTAGACCGTCTACGTTTACGATCCCTATCTCTATCACGATCTCTTTCGCGGTCTCTTCGATCACGACTCCTTTCCTCTCTCTGAATTTCTTCAATCTCTGGATCCAAACCGCGGTCGCGACTACGTCTGCGTTTTCGATCGCGCGATCTACTGCGTGACCGTCTCTTTCTATCTCTTGATCTTCTGCGGTCCCTGTCAACACGATCACGATCACTGAAACAAAAATTAAATTACATAAAATAATGGCAACTTTTACTTTTAATCTGATCAGAATTTTTAGCAAACAAAAATATTTGATGAGAATCAAATATTAAAATTTTTAATTCATAATTAAAAAAAAAAAAGATATCTTACCGATCTCTATCAAGTCCACGTCCTGTAGCTTCTCTTTCTCGTTCTAGTCGATATCTTTCTCTTTCTCTTTCATTGTCTTCTCTACCAGAGTGTTTGATGTTGACATCAGGTCCTCCTCTTCGTGTACCACCCAGACCTCCACCAAGTCTTCTTGGCAGCCACCCTTTTACAGTTCTTGCACGTTCCACATCGACCAATACTCTGCGACCATCTATTTTCTTACCATCCGCATGTTTATATGCAGCTAAAATTACCAATGCAAAAATATATTTCCATTTTGCATGGCCACGAGTACCTAATTAGGACTCATTATATTGATAAAATTTAATATTAATTCTATTTTATATCGACGGAACTAGGTTTGAGTGGTAGCAAATTAACGTTAGATTGCTAATATCTATTTTCACGTGGAGGATTACGTTATTACAAGATAATTAATGTCACAATCAAATTAACTCCGATAGTATATTTATTATTCACATGATAATAAGTATTATTAATATTAATATTATTTATTGTTGAGAAAATTATGCTAAAAAAATGTATGAATTAAATCACGTATATTTTATTAAAGAGATTTTTTTTTTTAAAACTTCTATTCAAGTCCCCTGACAGATAAAATTCAATAATAAATAAATAATCGACACGGTATAACGTTTGATAATGATTTCAGTCATCTTACCCAATGACTGCCTTTTTTCAAAAGTTCTTCAGAATACTTTTAAGTTTATGGAGGTACCACACTACTTGGTTATCAATAATCAGTGTTTTCCTATTTATGTTTAACACTTTTTGTCAAAATCAATATATTTTATTTTTATCGATTATCAATATAAGTAAAAATAGTTATTACCTCGAAATAAAAAAGATAAAAAATAATAGAAAAAGATAATATTTACTTAACCATTCAATAAATAAATTTAAAAAATTAATTATTTTTTAAAATTCACATTCAATCAAAGAATTAAAATCATTTTGTTATCACTTATTTTTTTCGATCATTGAAATCAATTTAAATTAGTTTAGTGCTTGACTATCAATTTTATTAGATTACTTATCACTTGATATATAAAAATAAATATCAAACATTATTACAATATAATCTCAATTGACGTAAATAATGATAAAGTTGTTATTTAAATATTTGATTAAGAAATAAACTAATTCAATTCTACAAAAAGAATTAAAGATAAATATTAGCAAACTTCCATATATGATAACCAAATAAAAAGAACTTGTACCTGACTTAATTGAGAATATTGAGAATAGCAGATACAAAACATACCTACCGCGACTACTTACGTACGGAAGTTAACACAAAGCTTAGAGGAACTTTTAATTGTGAAATGAACTTGTAAGTAACTCGCGAGGATAGAGTAGACCACCGCGTACTATTCATTCATTGGAAAGATGCCCAGTCTTCATATGTTTGTTCAATCTCCAAAGAAGTATTGTATTTACCTGGTGCGCTTTTTTAATAATTTTTTTTTTTTTTTTACTTACAAACCACACCGAGCGCAATTTATTTATAATATTTTTTAAAATTTATTATTTGATTTTAAACTTTATATTTTAATTATAGTAATGAAATCAGTATTAAATGAACTTCTACGACGATACTAATTGCATAGAAAGAAATAACAAACAAATCATTCACTCATCACCCAATTCATCCATCTCATTCATACTGAGTTTACTTCAAATTCGATATTTTAAAAGTTTTTGATATTATTCTTACTATTTTTTAACGCGTAGAAATTATTTATGAAGAACAAATTAGTATTCTATATCGAAATTGATATTTTTCAGGACTTATTGATCAATATATTGATGAAGAATTGGCACCTATTCAATTCGATCGGTATGAGAACATTTAAAAACATAAATTACCAGAAACTTGTTATGCTAAATAGAATATGAAATTCATTAAATCATAAATTTCCTAAATCTTATAGAAATATTTTGTTTTGTATACTTCTATACTTACCACCGATAGTATAACTCTAAATGCAAAATGTTTGCATAAAAATGTCGAAATAATCTGATAAGAAATTAGAAAAGATTATACTATGAATGATGAACTCAATTAATAAATTATTAATGATCAATAAGAGAATGGTTCCATAGACTGATTCCCTGAACCTTAAACCCTCTAAAAGCCCACTAATCAATTTCAATGTAGAATGCTAACTTTATTATTATATCGCGACGTTAATAATCGTTAAAAAAAAGTAAATTATTTAAAAAATCGATAATCGCGACATGAAAACTCATTCAAACCGCATGTTGAAATAAATTTAACAAGATAAACAGGGTAAGTATATAGACTCTAGCAAACGTTGTTGTATGTTGGATCTTACCACACATACAAACCTATCATATCAGGCAGGTTCAGGGATTTTGCATGGAATAGTGAACGGCACTAGTTGCCGGCAGCGGCCGCCACGCTGTACCAAGAACAAGATAAAAACTGTATTAATCAAAACTGCCAATACTTTGATCAAGGTTCGTTTACCATTATATGCATTTAGAGTATTTCAGTATTGATATGCCTGCATAGATGTAATTAACAGGATTTCCGAGTATGTCGTTAATATAAAAGGAGTTCACTAACACTAATACACCCCCGCCCTGTTCTTATCGCTAACGTTAATGACGCCAAAACCAAATTCAATACTAAAGGGTCAATCAGACATTCTCCTTTTTCATATTTTTACTCATCCATGCTGTTCTACTTACAGTGCATGTCCCTTTCGTGTTCATATTCAATGAAAGCGTACCCTCTTGGCTTCAGATTTACAGTATTATGAATCACAACGATCTAGAATAAACAAAAAAATTCAATATAGACAAGTTTATTTTTAAATGTTTCAAATAAATTATGTAGCTACAGTCAACTAATTATAAATACCTTTTTAACTGGTCCGTATACTTCAAACTCACGTCTAAGTTTCGATTCAGATGTATCATAGTTCTGAAATTGATATCGACTTATTAAATTACTCGATCATTATTTATTGATAACTAATTCTAAGAATAGTTGAGTTTGCACTAATTATAAAACTAATAAACTGAATACTTACAATTCGAGCAACAAATAGTGTTTTAAATGGATCTGCTGTAACATTGGGAATTCCAGCCGGATCCCACACTGCGATTTCTTGCTCAAGTTTATATGCTACTTGTTCAGCTCGTTCTCTTCTACGTCTTTCTAATCGTTCTTCTCGAGTTTCAACACGAACTGGTGGAGGTGTGTCCTTAGGATCCTGTTTGACAATAGTAATAAATGATTAAATTATCAATAATTTAACAATAACTCAATAAACATATTACTGACGCATCCATAACCTCACAATTTAAAAAAAAAACTCCAATCGTAAAATGACAAAAAATATAACATGCAAATAGAGAATATGCTAGAAAATCATTACAAATAAGATTAATGAAGTGTAAATTTAATGTACAATCAATTTCATAGCAAAGAACAAGATTCTAACTTTTTAATAACATAAAAAACATTGAATAATTAATATATTTACTTCAAAGTATTTTAAAAATGCTCCGACGCCGATGTATCCTCCATTCTTCTTCTCATGTGGAAGTTTACTCACTGGAGGCAAATAAGGAATTGGATCCCGAGGAGCAAATAAAGCTAATAAATTAGGTGGCAAAAAGTGCGTCATTTTTACAATGTAATTAATTAATAACGACAATAAAATACATTGTAACCGGTAGAATGCACGTTACAAAATGGTGCTTTTGCCAGCTTGGAGAAGAGGTGCAGTCAAAACTGAGAATAAATTTTTCAAGATGGCAAACCACCATTTTTTTTACAATGCGCACACATCTAGAATATACAGGTAACGCCATCTGTAGATAGAACTATTGTATATTCGCGCGCAACTTGAAATTGAGTTAAATTTGCTCTTATTACCATTTCGTTACACTTGATAAAAATATTAAATTAATTAAAAAATAAATGGGAAAAACTTTATAGAAATCGAATTATTTCTAAAAAAGGACTTTGGATTTAGATTAAAAAATTAACCTTTTGTTTTATAAACTTTACTTTTATTTGAACTTTAACTATCTCAGATCATAAGATTTAATTACAAGTTTCAATAACAATCTTATTTTATTTTGAATTCTTTATTAAGTAAATGACATTGTTTCTAAATTCTTCACAGCAAATAGTACGCCAACATTATAAGATTTTACTTATCAAAAATATCTAAGAAATGATATATTTAATAACAATCCGTAGAAAAATAGTAAAATTATTATCACTAAAAAAATACTTCATTAGCAATAATACTGTGCAAACACTTTCATTAGGATCTTTTCTTTTTGGAAAAAGATTGGCCATCATAAAAAAGAGGCTGGTATTCAACTAATAATCGTTTTCCATATGGTATTTTCAAACTGTCTTGTTCCCGATTAATATAAACACTTTTATTGTCAGCAATGAAATCACTAATACGTCCATCCGTTGAAAAATCATGTGGTCGTGAAGGAACAGTATTAAGCATTATTTTCTCTGCTTCTTTAATACGATATTTTATTATATCTATATAACACTTAAATTTATTGTATTTATTCAGTCGTAAAATATTCATCACGTTTACATCTTTAGTATATGGAGCAATAGTTTCAAGACTTTGCGTTAAAACGTCATATAGTGTAATATCAGTATTGGAAATTGATTCTTGCTTCAGTTCTTGTATTTCTCGATAGCATTGATTCTCATAATTTCTCACATTAATGCTGTAGACATTCTCATCTTCATCATCAGAAAAATTATCACATTCTTGGTCATTTTGACAATTATTGAAATACACTAAATCATAATTGTATTCATTAATAGAGAAATTGGCACATTTTAGTTTGATAATCTGCTCTTGCAAAATATTACGAATTTTTTTATAAGAATTAATTTCGCGTTTGTAAAAGAATACTTTTTCACGTCCATGATAATAATGGCCATATTCTGTATTCTTCATGTTGTAACTGCGACGAAATTCTATAACAAGACGATGATCGTAAAGTTCTTCACGGAAATAGGAAATACGCCGTAATACATAATGAAGAGCAGTCAATTTATAATTGTTAACAGCATTAACATCAGCCCCATTAATAATCAGATCTCTAACCATATCTATATGTCCTCGATCAGCAGCAATATGAAGAGCAGTTTGTCCTGAACCATCAACAGTATTGATATCCAAATCTTTTTGGATTAGAAGCTCTAAAATGCTGAAATTATACTCAGCAAAAAAATGATACAATGGTTTTCTTTCTTCATAACTAACAAATGAACTTTTCTTTGCATCTAGGAGAGATTTTACACATTCCCAGTTCCTTGAAAATCTTTTGAGAGCTATATGTAAAGGAGTATCACCTCGGTTATCTTTACATTCCATGTCAGCTCCATTCTCCAGGAGTATATTAATTACTGAAACATTGCCTACCTCACAAGCCTCGAAGAGTGGACTTTTACCTTTTAGGTCTCGAACATTAATATCTCCTGTATATTGTAGTAGAAGTTTAAGTACTTCTGGAACCCATATTTCACCTCTCGTACATACAAAATGCAGAGGTGTTTTACCAAATTTGTCTGCTACATTGACTCCAGCATTATAATCCAGAAGGATTTGGATTTTTTTAATATTACCCTCATCACATGCAAAATGAAGAGGCACTAGACTATCTTTATTTATTTCGTTGACTTTCGCATTATATCTTAAAAGGATTTCAACAAATTTGGTATCAATAAAATATCGAGTTGCTAAATGGAGTGGAGTATCTCCATTAATGTTTTTATGTTGAACATTTGCATTATTGCTCAACAGAAGTTCAGTCATCTTAATATTACCATTATGGATAGCATGAAAGAGTAACGTTTCTTGATTGTCATCTGGAAAATTAATATTTATCCCTTTAGTTAGGAGTAATTTAGGTATTTTATTTTGAGTATCAGCAGTTGAAGTTGGTGATTCTTGAAAATTGGTAAAGAAGTTCAAGATAGTTGTTTGACCCACAGTAGTTGCATGTATCTTTAAACCATGATCCACCATTGTTTCAAGAACTGTTATCCATTTTTTTTTCACAACAGTATTGATGATTAAATCACAATTTGGATCATATTCTATCATTGCTCCTCGATCTACGAGTAAATTTGCTATAAATGGTTGGGAACTCTTCACTGTAGCAATCCATAAGGGTGTCACTCCATTTGGAATATGATTCCTTTTAAAGAAACTTTGGGCTGCATTTGACAATTCGTCGAAGAAAACTTTCAAGTTAACATCAGCTTGATACTTGATAAGTATTTGGACCACATCGACATAATTTTGCCAACAAGCAATATGTAAAAGCGAGAAGCCGCTATCTTCATTGATCATATTCACATCTATTCCAAGTTGTATAAAATTTTCAATCATTCTTGCATTTCCGATTTTAGCAGCCACGTAAGCAAAGTAATAAAATTCACTGTTTATTCTTCGCTTAAGATAGAAAATATATTCAAAAAGAGGTTCTACCAATCGATAGTTTTTTTTCTGGCTAGCATGATGTAATAGTATTTTTAGATCGTTTATGCTGTGAGTACCCTTGTTCAAAAGTAATTTAACAATCTCAACTTTTTGCAATTCAACTGCAAGGAAGATAGCTGTTTTGTCGCGATTATTCAAAGCATCAACATCAATGTTTTTATCAAGAAGTAATTCTATAATTTCTGTATCCTCGAAATAGATGACAGCCCAATGAAGTAAAGAACGGCCTCCTGCTTGGAGATTATAATCAATTTCAGGATGGTGTAAAATAAGACTACGAGCTGTTATCTTGTTCTTGCTTCTTATAGCTTGAACCAATTGATGGAACTTTTCGTCTGCAATTGCTTTTTTTGACTTCCAATCCGCACCGGTATTATTTGACATTTTGCTTCTTTGTTTAAACAATTAAGCGGTTAAGAACGATTCAATGAAACAAACCTTGTAACTTATGAAATTAATGGTTTACATTAAAAAATCAGCACGGTTGATCTGAAACCGTTAATTCCAGAGTAAATTAGGTTACGTTTTAGAAAATTTCAGTCGATGTTCAAATGATTTCTCCGACAGTCGATATAATAGTTTGATAACATGACCTAGTTGTTTTGTAACCACTGGTGATAATGGGGGGTCAACCGAAGGGTTTGAGGCTGAGCTAAAGTCAAAAAGTTATGCGGTGAGAGGTCGAAGCTCGATGTTAACTAAAATTAGATAGGTAACAGGAAAATCGTTCAAAGAATAATAATTTTCAGGGATGCACTAAAAAAAATAGAGCATTAGAGCACCAAGAAATTAACGAATTTTCGAATCATCTGTTCCACGCTAGCTAGAGCAAAAAAAATAAACCCATCCATCGCCATTTGAATTATCGAGAAGAGAAAGGCGAGTTCGAGCATAGGTGACCAAGCTAAACCGCAACTCTCCTCACATGTACTAAAACTAAATTGATCGACTCTTCAAATAAGATAAGACCAAAAAAAGCTATAATTTGAGCATAAATGCTCGGATCATAATTTTGACTACATCAA